GCACCATGGCCTTCTGAAGCATTGAGTGTGAGGTGAGATCCGGTTGTCCAGCACAATCATTGTTCCTGCAGCTTGGCATTACTGCGTGGTATTTTTTATGTGAGAGAGCCCAGTCATACTTATTAGTTGGTTAACACTCGAGGGGCTTTCTGCTTGGCAACTGCAGCAAGATATATCCTGTACATGCACAAGTAGCCCACTACGTTTCTCCACCTCAGGGACAACCAGCTGCTTACCTGGTGACCAGCTTCATCATGGAGCACTGTGAGACGAAGCCTGGCAGTGAAGTGCCTGCATCAGGCCTGCTGGAGGTGTTCAACCACTGGGTCTGCACAAGCAGCCACACCATGGTGAACATGAAGATCTTTACACAGTCCATGCATGCCAAGGGCTTTGAGAGTCTGTCAGAATGCATCCCCTTGGGTGTGGTAGATTGCTACATGGTGCTCGAGCTCCTGCCTGAAGCCATGGCTGTTCAACAATGTTGGCGATTTCATCTTGTCCAATCATGAAAACAGGGTGGATGCTCCGGATGCTAGTAGTACACCTCACAACCACCTGGGAGGGTTATGCATGTATGTCGTTACAGGGTGGTTAAGCTTCACCATATGTATAAGTATGTAAGTATGTATGTCCATTATAATGTATATGGTATACATGTACATATGGCCCTGTAGACCTGCAGTAATGCCTCCAAATATCTCGTTGTTGGCTGTTGTGCTTGTCGTGCTTCCGCGATTTACATCATCCTTTTTATTTAAGATGTGTCCTTCATCAGCATTTGTGTCGCCTTTCCCCCTCCGCCCCTTCCCCCCCTCCCCCCCTTCCCCTCCTCCCGCTCCTCTCCCCCTCCTGCTGCTGCCGCGGCTGCTTTAGGTATCCCTCTGTCCATCATCGTGAAGGAGTACGGCTGGAACGCCTACTTCTCCACGCTGGTGGGCGCCTGCGCACTGGCGCTGCTGCTGCTGTCCCCCATGACCAAGCTGCGCAGCTACGTGCAGCGGGAGGCGGCAAAGAAGGAGCGCCTGGCCAAGAGCCAGTGAAGCCAAAGAAAGAGTATGTGCGTGTGGTTCTGTTTGGGGTTTCGCCATTTCGGAGCATTACTTTGTTGTTATAACAAAATGGTGCACTGGTGAAGTGAAAATGTTGCCCTCTCGTGTTGCTGGTCATCTCCCTGATCTGATCTGATCTGATCTGGGTCGCCTGGGCTTCGTGGGGGGCTTGTGTCCATTGCGGGTGGGTCTACCAGTTCCTTCTGAAAGGTCGGCTTTGCTCTCGTGCACCGCTATATGATAACATTGATGATAAATAAGCTTGAAAATCGATAGATACGCGGTCCAGAGAGAGGTCTGATTTATGGAGTGGTTTTGTGTCCTGGCCTTGGTGGTGAGTGGAGCAGGCGGGCTGCAACACCGTGCAGCGGCACATGAACGCACCACTTGCATGCATGCAGCTCTACTTTGTGTGCTCTCCTGGTTTATTGGTTGTGGTTTTTGGCTTTGGATGATGGGATGTGGTGGTAGATGGGGGCGATGGTGTCGGAGCGAGAATCGGCTGATATGACCTTCTGGGGCTGGAGGGGAGGGGTACCTCCCCGGGGGCAGCTGGCACCCGTGTGGTGGTGGTGGTGGTGGTGGTGGCGGCCAGGGGGGTGCATCGATAGTGGTTTCTCTCGCCACCACTACCAGCAGAAGCAGCGGCAGCAGCAGTTGCCACTGGTGGAGGTAATAAGCGATGGAGAAGACTGAAAGACAGCTTGTTGGGTGTCGCGTTGTGCTTGTTGCTGCCTGTGTGTGTGTTTTGCCAATCGAATCGAATGTTTTGGACCTGAACAGGGTGCATATGGCATAGGGGCTTTCTCCCCCTCGGGCCGTACCCACGACGTTACATACATACAAGACTCTCCGGCTGACTGCGCCTGCGGTAGGTAGCTAGGATGTGGTGATGGTTCGTGTCGAACCCCGCCCTGGAAAGCCCAGCCCAATATTCCACAGGAGGGGGGAAGAGGCGGCTTGCCACAAGTTACCGCAAGCCGACTTGTGTTTATGGCTGCCAACGATACTCCTTGGAGGGGGGTTGGG